GGGAAACAGCGTCTCCCCCAAAACCTCAAGAATTATTTTTTTAACAACAAATCTAGTTTCCCTTGTCTTATCCTTTCCCCTGCTTTTCTCTGTTTCCTGCTTTCAGTAGCAAAATGGAAAAAGGAAGGAGAATAAGATTCAGTATTTTAAAAATCCTCAGTTTTTTAAAGACTTTTAAAATTCAAATGTGGAGGACCCAAACCAGATCCATCTGAGGACCTGTAAAGGAAGCCTGGGCGAGATGCAGGTTTTGAGAATAGAAGATGCAATGGTGGTTGATGAAGGAGGCAATAAAGGGTTGGGGGAGTGAGTGCATAATAAATGTCCCCTATTCATGGTATCGCACACCCGAGAACTGTGTGTGAATGTAGCTTGTTTGCAGAATGCAAGGGTGGTTCAGGGAATGGGTGGCGATCCCAACAGTCTGCCATTCTCTGTACTTAGCCTATAAGTCTTAGCTGGTAGAGCTTTCTCAGGAAGAAGTGTGACTTATTTTTCCTTTCTAGTTTTGCATAAGGATCCAAGACAGGTATATCTCTGTCTACTGGAAATTGGTCGCATAGTATCAAGGTATGTAGTCAAACAAGTTTTCTAAATAAAAGCCAAAAAATTTGTTCTGGTAAGTATATATCCTGTTGGTTTGTATACCGTATTATAACACTGTGTCTTTAAGCACAGCCAAAATATTTTCTGCCCCCAAATAGAAACTAATTAGCAGCTCTGTTGTCAGACCCTGCCTACAGCTTGGATGCTTTTTAAAGGAAAAATCCCCACCATTGTGAATAGCTGCCTTAGGTTTCCAGATGTTCCTCTTGGGAAGGTGCAGATCTATACTGCTTCTTAATATAGGTTGTACCAATATAGCTAAATGTTAGTCAGCCCCATCAATATCAAGAGGACACCCCCATGTGTAAAGAGAGGAGGTTATAACTGGAACTTTGACTCCAGGGTTTTTTTAGGCTTTTTAAGAGTTTTAAATACCCCAAACTTTCCAATTCTTTAATTTTTAAAAACTTCTAAACATGTTCACAGTCTCTTGCCTTCCATTGGGAATACAATGAACTTTTTCTTAACATTTTCCTGTAATTTGGATTTTCTAATGTTTACCAACTTTTGCTGTTTCCAAGTCCTCTTCCCTTCTCCCCAGTGGCCCAGTGGCTGGGAATAGATGTGTGCTAGCTGTTGAACATAACTCAGCCAAAAGCAGGATGTTGCTAACCAACTCAGAAAATGTCTGAGTAAAACTCTCCCTAACCTGAATACTATTACTGGAACACCTAGATCATTCTTCTTCTGATAGATCAGACTTTTCTGGGAATGGTTTTCTTTTCCCTTTTCAATTATTCATCACCTTGCATGTATCTTCTTCACATCTTTTCTTTTCTTTTCTTTACAATTTTTATCCAGTTGTTTAGTTTCCTTATGAAACTGTTTTTCCCACCATCTTATCTGTATATGTGTTCAGATATGGAGTTGAACCTCCTGTGCTAGTAAAATTGGAGAAGGAAATCGAATTAGAAGAAACACTGCTAATGACCTCTGGACCTGTAACACCTGTTAGCACCCCAAAGCCCTGTTGTCACCACGGGGAGCTACATGAAGCAGTAAGTACTGGACATGTCTTTATTTGTGATGAGGGCTTCAAATGACTCGTGCCTGATTTTGGGGTGTGCTGTGCCTCTCTTTACATACCCAAACTTGTGGATCCAAGGGCTTTGTGTGTTCTTGAGCACACAGCCCACACATTGGGAGCAACGTGGCATACTAGATGGGTAAGCTTTATTCTGTGTTGTTCTTAAATGATGTTCAGTGTATTTAATATTAAACAGGGTAGAGTTGTGCCTTTTTAAAACACATGGCTGTGGCAGAGCACCTTTGGTGCCTGCCACTTTAAGGGCTGAGAGCAGGCAGCTGGCAGGTACAGGGCAGCCCTGATGAGGCGGTCACGTGACTGCAGGCAGCCCCAGGGAGTGGAGGAGAGGGCTGAGCAGCCTCCATTTTAGCTCAAATCCTCAGGGCTGAGCCAGGAGTTGCTGCAAACAGCTGGGGAAAAAACACCTCCCAGCTGGAGCTGCTTGGAACATCTTAGAGGTACGGGCAGGAGCTGTGGGGATGGTAGGAGGCTCCTGGTCCTGGGACATGACAGAAAACTATACCCTGCTGGGGAAGGATGGCTTGGTGGGACTTCCCATAGTGGGGGTAGTTCCCCAGAAATGCCAGGCCAGTTGCGCCCCTAGTGAAAGGTGGGTAGGGGCACCTTATAACCCCAGCTACCACTACCCAGTGGACAACTTTAGAGCAGGAACAGGCACAGGGGGTGAGGCACATCTGTGGACACCTGAGCCCATAGGGTGTACGACCCTGGAGGCCCCAGCAATGGGGCAGAAATATTTGTACGGAGGTCTGCACAGAGTAGGGTGCATGGTAGTGCTTGAAGGGCTGTGTGTGGTGGGCATAGAGTAGGGTTGCAGGGGTGGCCTGAAGGGCTGCACATGGGCCACCCCCTATGTGGGTTACAACAGGAGTAAGTTTCTTGGAGAGGGGCTAGTGGCTGAGTTCAGCTCAGTCTGAGGCATAAGGCCGGTGGCCACAGGGCCTGAAGAGCTGTGTGTGGGCCAGCTAGAGTGTGAGTAGGAAAGCTGGAAGAGAGTAGGGCCAAAGGGCTGCACGGATCCATGGTGAGTTGAGAGTGGTCCACTGAGGGGCAGTATGAATGAGGCCCTGTGAGAGGGGGCTGAGTGCAAGAGTAGAATGCTAATGGCCCAGCAAGGAGCAGAGTTTATCCTGGCCTTGGGCCAGAGCTGTTACTAATTTTCAGTGCCACCTGCGAGGCATGGGGCAAGGTATAGGGAAGGTCGGAGCCATGTACAATGCCCTAGGCATCGGAGCATTTAATGAGCAGCCTTCCACATTCAACATCCAGTTTATTACACCAAGTCATGGCAGACGACACAGGGCAGACTGCCCTAAACAGGTGGGTGGGCCAACACAGAGACCCGGCCCTGGGTGGGCCCCTGTCACAATAGCAAATTGAAGTTTGGGATTGTTTTGTCATGGCAAAACCTGTTGAGGAATCAAACTTGTTTAAAATATCACCCACAAAAATCCTTGCATCTCCAAGGCATCTTTTATTGAATCAACTGCATTGTTGGGATAGACTTGGACGAGCTAAGTGGGTCCAATAAAAGATATCACCCGCAGAAATCCTTGCCTCATATTTTTCCTGGACCGTCATAGTTGCATCATTTCAACACTACTACAATATCTTAGAATTGTTTGAGTCAGTTTCTTTAATTAGAACTAGGAGGAAATTTTCCTTCATGCAGAAAAGGAAATGACTCGCATTGCTTAGGAGTAAATCTCTTAAGGCCTGTTTGCAGCTTCTCTATTTTGTCTAAACTTGAATATTTAAGTCTTTAAATGTTTAAAATAGGTTTGGCTTTGCGGGGGGATGTTTCCCATCACAGAGTCTTCTGATCAACTCCACTATGACATGAGAAGGTTGTTTCTTGTTAAAGGCTAAGTAATACTGTAGCTTAGCAATGGTCTTGAACTTCCATTACATAATAGTGGTTTGTTGTTCTTCCGTATCTTTGTCTTTCCACCCTCTCCCCTTAAAACAAACAATTCTCTTGTTCAACTATGGGGCTAATTCATGTGTAGCTTCTTTTATTTTGTCTCTCTCTTGACCCCTCCATAGATGGCTTTTTCTCCTCCTAAAATTTACTGTTAAAAACCTCTTCAGATGAGACCTAGTTCTGCTAAATACTATTTGAGCATGTAGTCCCAGCCATCTGGTGGAACTGTATTTGAGACCAAAAAGAAAGCTGTCTTCATGGAGCTGTGTATTTTGGCAGTGCTACTCAAACTGAAGGAAACAAATCGTTCAGTGGGCTAAGAAAAGGAAGGCAAATACATGTGGGAGAAGGAACTCTAAAAACTGCTAAATAAGAACCATGTCCTGTCTTTCTTGAAAGATAATGTTTTGCATGTCTGTGTGCATTTTTTACTTCAAATTATATGTAAGAGTTCTATCTGTTGGGATCTTCTAGGGAGGAAAAGTATCTCGATAGGGATGTATTTATTAACTTTCTTTTACAACTGCTTACAAGACTTCTCAGTAGTTTAATTTACCAATAATTACCATAACCTAATCTTTTAAAAATATTAATAGCAATAAAACACTAACATTTTCTCTCATTTAATTTAAACCTAGGTTAAGCACATAGCAGAAGATCCTCCCTGCAGCTGTTCCCATAGGTTTTCAATTGAGTATTTATCTGAAGGGCGGTATAGGCTGGGAGATAAAATCCTCTTCATACGAGTAAGTGGTGCAGTTCTTGACTGGTTCCTCATCCCCTGAGTAACATTTGCCTCTGTCTTATCTAGGCTGAGTTCTAAGACAACTGGATTTTTAATTTAGTCCCATATGTCTAAACGGCCGAACAGGAATGCACAATTTGCATAACTTTTGGGTGACTGGTTTAATATCTGGATACCTAGCAATGGCCACGCCAGTCTTGTGATCTGTCACAGGTCAATGGTGACTTGGAAGCATAACAGGAAGGGATGAAGTAATATTTAGTTACCACAGCAGAGAGAGGGTCAAGGATAGTGGATTGTTGTAATGACCTATCAGAGTGCCCATGCCTCTGTCTGTAGGCGCAGCAGTTTTATCCCAGAGATTTTTTTTTTTAAAAGAGAAGTCTTTCTTAGGGTAACCCTTAAGAGGGAGATGGTAGCAACCAGGAGACTTTGGATTGGGGAAAAAGAGGCAAAAAGCTCCTTTTCTTTTCTGCTGGAGGGAGATTAGGGCCTCAAATATAATTGACTGGGGGGGCTTCAATTTTGTATTAGAGTTCAGGACCAATGTTCTAGTTGAAGTCCTAATGTCTTCCAGTTCCCCAGAAGTTGAGGATGGAAGAACATAAGAATATTTTTCTCAGGACACTTCAGGTATTTGCTGCTAGCTCACTGGGGAGTGTATGGAGGGATAAAACAGGAGAGAGGGAGAGAAAGAAGGGGAGGTAACATATGAGAAAGAGACACCTTCTGTCTCTCTTGCAGTTAATAGTGTAGTTTACACTAGTTTGCCATTTAGTATCCTAATGCCTGGCTATGGGCACTCTGATTCATACGCACTAATATAAAAACATAATCTTAACCAAAAAAGATTGAGAAAATGAAATCCTAGTCATATAAAGTCTTGTGTGTGTGCTTCAAGAAACATCTTTCTAGGAGAGGGGGTATCGTGGTTTATAGTGTAAATAGTAGGCACAGACAGAAGTGACAAAGTTTGCCCAATCTGGCCTCTGAAAGTGCTCTACAGCTGTGAACACAAGCGCATGGCTGAAGAATGCTTTAAAAGGGCCTGATACCACAAAAATCTGAACTCTCATTACCTGATGATTCAGATGAAGGTGCTCCAAAGTCCGGTGCCTTCCGTAACTTCCATCTGTGCTTGCTGGGAGCAGGATTTAGCTGACAAAGCCCAGCACTGCTCCCCGTGTTGTTTTCAAAATGGGAGGGGGAAGGGAGTGGAGGGGAGCTTATTTTGAGGGTTGTCCAGTTGGTGCTGGAGGATGGGGTGGGTGGACTGGAGTCTTCCCTCCCGTTCCCCCTCCCCCCCCCCCCCAAAGTGGGGGTTCCAATCCACCCTCACCCTGGCGTGGCTGGGAAAACCCCAGAATGGACCTCCCTCCCTGCTTTCTCCCTCTTCTATCCTGAGTCAGCATGGGATCTGGGGTGGTGGGGGAGTAGAGCCAGGGGAGGAGGCTGCAGAATCACAGCCTCTCTCCCTGGATTGACTTCAAATTGGAGCTTGATCCCTCAACCTCCCAACCAAACAGCTAACGCCCATTGGGTTGGGAGGATTCGTCTAACTCATGGCGCTTTCTTTGAAGCACCATGAGTTAGACCCGGGAGCTGCACTTCTGTCTGCACCTTCTATTGTGTCAAACTGCTGCTGTATAAATAGTTACAACTAAACTGAATTGCCTAAATTTAAAGTTTAGTGCTTTACGTTACTATTTGAAGTCATAAATCGAACTGCAAAAAAGCTAGCTCAACAGAATATAAATGTT